GTATATGAAGTCAAGATATTAATTAAGCCATGGTATTAAACCAACTTAATAGGCTTAATATCATCGCTTTTTAGAAACTATCAAATATAGCTTCCTTATTTGAGTCATATTGAAAAATAGATTTTGTTAAATTGTTAATGATTTCTTAATTTCACCCATGAAAAGGCTGCTTGTGCACCTGACGTCATTTTTGAATCTTAGTTTATTCAGCAGAGATACAGTCTAAACTAGTGCATTTTTAAAAGTGGAGCAGGAATATTTAGCATTCAGCTTGTTTGGTTTAATTTGATTTCAGAAACAGTCATGGACCTTAGTATGTTTAAATCTGGATTGTAGTATTAATCTGTTAAGGTTGATTTGAGTTTATATGAAAAATTCTTTATTTAGGACGAGTCCTGTGGGCAGGAGCAAAAGCAAGTGGAATAATAAATGCAGGATGAACTAAGGCACATGAAGATTGCTGAGTGGATAGAAAGCTTGATAGCAGCTGTAAGGAGGAGATTGGCAGCTTCTTTTAGAAGCAGACCCAATAGGAAATTTAAAGATGGGGAAATAAAAATACATTTCTTTTTTTTTTTAATGTTTGCATTACAGAAATTATTATGTCATATTTTAAATAAATCCTTAAACTAATCTTCCACAACCTGTTGCCTTGCCTTGCACATATTTTGGTCCAACTCTTATAGTTCATACCTTTACTGTGCTAGCATTTCAGGCTGTAGTTTTTCGAAAGATCAAAATAACGCACCTGAAACTAGACAATGGCATTTTCTCTTCTAGATTTTGTTATGATATTTTAAGTTACAATGTATAAGAAATGTAAAGAGATTAAACAGCTTTGGTTGCCCGGGGCTAAATAACATCAGAGTTTTTAAGCTATAAAGATCAAAGTTTAAACTGGTCTTTGTGACTTTACACCCATATCTCTTGTTTTCTGCTGACAACAGAATACAGCATACAAGTAACACTTCTGCAACTTAAAAGATTTAGGTTATTAAAAAATACATTCAAGCAAAAAACGTATGTTTTTATAATTCCTTTTAAAATATATTACTTAATATGACTAGGCATACAAAATCATGAAAGTGTGAGTAGATCATAGGTAGTACAGGAATGGCTCATAAAATATATAAAGATGGAATTCTCAGTCAGAATAAAGAGAACATTCTTGTCAAGTATAAAAGTTATACAGAATATTTACACAGCTACTTAAGCCAAATGTTCAGTGGCCTGTTAGATTCCACTTACTCCAAGCCTTAACTCCACAGTCCTCCATATTCTGGAATTGCTTCTCCAGACTGGGATCATAATGTAGTGCTATTGAGATGAAACAACTTTACAGCCATTTTATTATCTGCAGTAAGATTTGACAATACAAGAGAACAACCTGTTACCCGAGGATTCTGTGCAGTCCTTGAAAGTCTTGGGTGCAACTGCTAGATCTCTAAAAATGAATATCAAATTGTAATGTTTAACTGAATAGAAGTGGACGTGTATTATAAATACATGACTGGGAAGTAATTATTTTTAGTTGCATATAAGTAGAAAGGTCTCTGTACATAACAGCACCTGAGCTACCTTGACTTGTCCCCAAAAGATAGGATTGGACGGACCTGCTTAGACACCTATAGGGGACAGGGGGTCATTGGGAAATGCAGGACCTATAGGCTGGACTGAGGATTGAGTAATAGCCCAGAAGTGGGCATTGCAAATGACCACCTTTTTCTGCTTTGCACAGTGCTAGTACTAAAGTTTTTGATTTGTAATTCTTTTGTGTTTTAAATGACAAATAGTTTGTTTCTTTTCAAAGAAATTAATTTCTGCAAAGGAAAAAAATTATGGCAGGAATAATGGACTACTGATGGAGCAGTTATGTAGCTTGTATTATTAATAGAAGCTAATAAGAGGAAGGAACTGTATTGTATTATGGCTAATGACTGTCAGATGCATGTATTTTCAGGACAGTATTCCATAATAGCTTATATAATGAATATACAGTTGCATAACAGTGTTTGCTTTTCCCTTGGGCAGTTTTCTTCTGGCTTTGGTCAGCTTCCAAGAAATCAGAACTAGGAGTTGCTATTTTGTGCCCCCCAGGTTTTTGTTAATGGCTGCCTGCATACATGGATCTGTGAGTTGTATACAGCGCATCCAGCAACAAAAATATGATTATAATATGATTGTAAACTTGTAATGTGGATTTCTATCTCTGTGGTCCAATTTTCATAATTGCTTCTCCCTGCCAGATTACTCTCCCTGACAAATTATTCTATTTGCAAAAAAAAGAGGGCAAAGATAAAGTATTATTCTCATACTTGTTCTATTTACTGGTGTAAAAGTCTTTTATTGATAAGTGGTACCAGATATAATTTAATTGTACAGTTCCAATAACACTAATAATTGTTTTATATTTCCAGTTCTGTGTTTTCTACCATATTAGTAGCCATGAAGGGTTTCTTTCAGTGACCTTTAATACAGTCTTCACCAACCTACTGCCCTCAAGATGTATTGGGGAGCTCTAATCATCTCCTAGCCAACAGGGAGTTGTAGCCCAATAGTACTGTGGTACATTTAAAAGACATCAGTTTTGAGAAGGCCACTCTTATATATTAATTACACACACCCTAGCATCTTTGAATTTGTAGAACAGCATACCTCAATCTTCTGAAGATCTTCTGTCAGATAATTCTAAAATATGTTTTTCATTGGGTGAGAGTAAAAAACAAACACTAGGTGTACCTGAAGTAACTTTTTCACACTATCCATACATCAGGTTGAGAGCAGCTGTCCTGATATAAATCTATTGATCTTTTACTAGAACCATAATTTTAAGTACCTAAACATTATAGTTGATAATGTTTCGAAGAAACTTTGAAACTTGTAAACTAATAGGTTAGTCTTAAAATCCATGGAATTTAATCTGTTTTGTTATAAACAGCAAACAGTACTGATAACTAATAATAGAACAAGAATGACCAACACTAAGAGCCATTTGTTTTGTAGGGGGTTGGGGTTGTTAATTGTCTTCATGGCAATTCTTGGTTACCTAATGATACTTTTTATTTAACAAATGTATGTGGCTGCCCAACACACACACAGTTTACAGCTTACAAAGTAAAATCCCCAGTACAAAACCCCCATCAACTCCCACCCCCCGTGGCTGCAAAAAACACAACACAACCACTTGATCAGCTCCTTTTCAGCTTGGGGTCCCCAGGCCCACTGGCAAAACCACGTCTTCAGGGCCTTCCAGAACAACATCAAGGTGGGGGCCAATCTTAGAGGGAATAAAGGTGGTCCTTTCAGTAAATAAGAGGTTACTGTTGGCTTCTGAATAACTGAGAGACTTAGCAGCAATTTTTCACTCTCTTTTTCTTCTGATGTAATGACAGGTAATTGCATCTGCTGTTCCCCTACCTCAATTCCAACCTAGGTCTGTGGTATCGATCAACGTACAATCTGCACTATAGTAGATGGGTTATATCATTTTGTCATAAATTATGTGGGTTTCAATCTGTTCTCAAGCCATGAGATTCCTCTTTAAATAGCTACTTGTTGTCTTCACTTGACAATGTAACAACAAATGCTTAGTAGTTTAAGATTTGGTATTGTCTGTATTTCTCACTTCTACTCCCCTACCGGAAACCTTCTTAGCATTAACTTTAACCTACTCTGTGAAAATGGTTCACATAAAGCTCCTATCTTTTATGAAAGGCGTATCTTTGGAGACAGCCTTTAACTTGTTACATCAAAATAATAGCTAATACAAAGTACATTGCCACCCTTGGCATACAATGATAGTTAATATATTGAGTAGTAAACTACTACTTCTTGAAAGAGGAAGCAGCAGTAAATGGATGGTGAGCACTCAGTGAACTTTCAAACAGCCTGCAACACCAATGTGTGACTGCTGTTAATGTTACCATATACCCAAGTTGCACACTATTATTAAAGCTGACTTACTGAATATTTGAAGGTCTCATTTGAAATATTTGACTTTGCTCCATCAAAGTCGTTCTTTGTTAGCTTCTAAACCCTGGTATTATTTTGAAAGAACCACTTACATAGAATTTGCAGAAAAAGCAACTTCCTTACCATCTGATTGGAGGGGGGCAGTATGCACTTTTCATGAATAGCATTAGCTATGCAGAAATGTTTCAGTTCTCTTTCAATCAGAAAGTTCCCCCAAGACCTTCTCAGAGGTCCTCAAAATCAAATTATTTGCCAGCCTCTGTTGAAAAGTAATACAATATTAAAATGCTATCAAATAATCATGAGAAGTGGTAGTGGCAGCAAATACATCAATTTTAATTTTTAATATGGTAAATACTGATACAAACAAAGCTTTTTTGGAGTTCTCCATAATTTTTAAAAGTGGGAAGCAATCCTGAAAGAAAAAAGTTTAAGAAACATATTAGAGTAATGTTGATCACCTTAGAAAAATAATTAGCTTCCTTTTATCTCAAAAACTCGTAATGACTCTTCTTTTTAATATAACAGGGAGGACTGTAGTATTTTAAAGCCTTTTCTTCAATGTGTTCTCTTGTCATAATTCCAAAAAGATTTAAGAAAACAAGCTCCATACTAACAGCTATCCTGTAAAGAGTAAGAAAATAACTTGGAAGAATCAGCGCTAAAATACTGTCTTGTTTAAGCAAAAGATTCATATTCTGTCCTAAGGTTCACATTCTGCCCTAAATTGCAAAGCTGGGAGAACACCCAACATAATGTTCAGACAAGTTGCCTTAATGGATGTAGTATTCATTACTGAATACTATTCAATATTCTGAAAAGAGATCAGTCATACATTTTGAACCTAAAATGATCATTTTTAGCCCCCCACCCCTGAGTCATGTGTCTGAGATGAGCGGCTGTATTAAATAAATAAATAAATTGCTCAGCTTTTCAAATTAATAACATATTTGCTTGTGAATATTTATAAGCTGCGAAATTATTGGACCTATTATTTCCTTATGCATTGTTTTAATCTTTTCTTCTAGGTCAATGTTCGAGTTACCACAATGGATGCAGAATTGGAATTTGCCATCCAGCCTAATACTACGGGGAAGCAGCTGTTTGACCAGGTTAGTGTAAGCATGTGTGGGATTTAAAAAAAAAACAAAACTTCTGTAGATGAGAATTTGATTTCTGACCAAGCAGAAAACCTTGAAACCATGAATACTACAGATTAGTATTCATCTCCTCTTTATCTCTTCAGCACACTGACCATCTCTACCTATTCTTAAGCCCAAGAAAACAAAACCACCACCTTCACTGTTGTCAGTTGTAGGTTCAATAAATGTGGTAGTTGACATTTTCTTTATCATTCTATTTAACATTTACCTAGACTTTTCACTTTCCATTATTTTATTTCATAATGAGCTTTCTTTATTATCAGCTAACAAAAGTTCTAAGAAGACAATATGCATCCTTGTCTCACTCCCTTTCTTATTCTGAGGCATTTCATTTTTCCAGATTCAGTTCTTATATCAACTTCTTATTCCTTGTAAAGGTTCCTCAGAAGAACAATCAGGTGTTATGATACATCTGTTAGCCTGAATATAATCCATATTCTGGCATGATCTGTACAATCAAAGGCCGTGATGTAGTGAATAGAACAAATTTAAACTTCTTAATATCTTTTATTCTCTTTATTACCTATCTTACATTAGCTATCTGATCACATATCCCTCTGCCTTTTTGGAAACTTGTCTGTTCATCTGGGATTTCCATATACAACTTCATCATTCTTCATAGGATGTTAAGCAAAATGTTGCTTTCATAAAAAAATAGTACCATGGTTTAGTAATGTGAATGTTCTCTTGCATCTCCCTTGTTTGAGGTAGATATATGCATCAATCTGTAGGTCATACAGTTTTGTACCATATTTTGCAGCAGACCAATCAGCGCTTTACATTTGTAAAACATTTTGGTATAGTTGGTTTTTTTTTTTTTTTGCTTCTATTAGATCTCTTCCATCTCTTCTTCATTGGTATTTTTAGCTTGGTTGTATATTTTCCTGTGATTTTTCTGATTTTAAGATCATATCTCATTTTTCTTATGTTCACTATTTCTTGGTATTTTTGACTGAAGTAGAAGGAGCTAGGGACCACATGCAATCCACTGGATGGCTGTACTCTCTTGCCATAAAACAGTATATTGGTTTTTCTTTTCCCACCATTGTTGAGGTAATTTGTGTGTGTACACATGTGTATACATTTGTGTGTGTGCCCATGTGTATATAAAAGTATGTATACCCAGAAAGACAAGCGATTGGCTAGATTGCCTTTCCTGGAACAGAAAGGTGGGAGGGCAAAGCAGCAGAATTGTCCAATAGAGGACATGTTAGTGGTCTAGACTGAACAGCTTGCAAACTGTACAGATAACTAAAAACAAGATGCACCAATGTGCAGAATTGCCAATTATATCAAAAATAAAGAAACAGGAAAGAATCATGCAACTTCTTGGTCAAATAATCTTTTCGTTCACAAAGTTGAACGTGGTCTACAGGATTCATATCCACCTTTATTCTCCAATAAAGTGCATTTCCTCAAGATATTTGTATCAAGCTATCATTTTAACATGCTATGAAGAATCACCTTATGGTTATATTTCCAGCACTACCCTAGCATGCCTGAAACAATTGTCTGCTTTAGATATTTAGCTTTCTGGAAACTTGGGCTGTAAGTTTCTTTTAAACAAGCTTGTAAAATGATTAGTCTACTTATTTCCTTCTTACTCTATCATTCTGGAACATTTTAGGTTGCTTTCACTGAATCTGATTTTGATTTCCTAGCATCTGTCTTAAATTAAATGCAGTAACCAGAGGGAAGCTACAGCTACTGGCTTATTGTTTTGGCTAGAGGCAAATTAGTCAAGCTCTATAGCAATAGTCTTCAACTTCTTTGAATTGGTGAGCAGCGCAGAGAAAATAAATCACTAAGCAATTGTTATGAACTGTAAACATTCAGAACATTTATCAATGCAATTAAATATTAATTTGATACAAAGATAAACTGATAATGCTAAAGTAAAAGTGTTCTTTTGAACCTGGTTTTCTGCTTCAGCCAGGTATCCATTTATTTCTCAAAGTAGGAAGATCATCCTAAGACAGTGTTTCTGAACCTTGGGAACTTTAAGATGTATGGACTTCAAGTCCCAGAATTCTGGGAGTTAAAGTCCCACATATCTTAAGATTCCCAAGGTTCAGAAACACTGCCCTAAGGATTTTATTATCAGTATATAAAATCTCTTACTCATATCCCACCACTACTGTTGTTCTTCACATTCTACACATACGCACCTTCTTCTATCACACAAACATCTCCTTTCTATTTTGGCTGCTCACAGGAAAACAGCATTCCTCTGGCTTCTAGCTGCTCCACACTTCTTCCTTTTCTCTGAATAATGCTTAGGACCGCTCTGGGGGATTCTGGTCAAGAGCTCTGCTGTTTCTCAGCTGCCCACGGGGGCTTGTTCCTACTGCCTGCCAGGTTGCCATATCACTAGTATGGGTGAGCACCATTTTTTGGAAGCCAGCAACAGACAGTGTCACCCTCACCCACACCCGATCACGAATTCCCGACTTTCAGAACAGGGCTTTCCCGCTTCTGTTGCCTTAAGTGCTACTCTCCAGTCCAAGATAGGTCAAACATATGTTTTGTCCCTCATACGTTTTTCTCTTATTAGTCACATTCATTGATTAAACATTGATTAAATTAGCTGTCACCAAAAATGTAGTGCCCCTGAAGATGACAATCCCCACCCCCACCCCATATTGAGTGAAATGCCATAAATGTGTGTTTCATTTTAAGGTTAATATATAATTCACTTTACTGAGAGGAAATTACTGTTGAAGTGATAGCCATTTAACTCCTGAAATTCTGAATTTTGAAATCAGGATACATGAAATAATTTACAAATTATTGTTATATTAATTGACAATATAAATATATATGTGATGGCAGTATTAAAGTTGTGAAATAACATAATTTAAAAAGTATAGAAGAATATTTCATTAAAAAAGGGACTAAATTACTTAGTCACCTTCATTGGTCAGAAAGAAACCCCTCATTTAAAATTGATGAACAATGTATAACAGCAGCCCATTGTTGCAATCTGGTATAATAAATTTTGGCCATCCCTCGTGAAAGATCCATAGTCCAGTATTGGGGAGGTAGTTTTGCAGAATGTATGTATCCTTAACTCGATCATGTTATCAGTCCTGTGGTATCCAATCTCAAATGTAGCAATAATAGGAGAAGACCAGGCTATATGGGTTAATGTTCCAACACTAGAACTGCATCTGCAACAGCAAAGCAATTCCAAGAAACTTTATCAAATATTTTCTGAGGAATACAGTGTACCTGAAATAAAAAATCTTATTAACCTCATCCTAAAATCAAAAGTAAATTATTTCAAATTGTGAAGCAACTTTTCACTTGTTTACAAGAACAAGTGTGTTTTACTTTATGAACTGCCCAGAGTCTTTGGGAGTTGGGTGGTATACAAGTTTAATAAATAAACAAACAGCCATTGAATTCACTGTTTCAACATTTGTATACATAGTTAATAGCAATTTCATCAGGTTCCTCTAGCTACTTATAGGATTAGGTTGCTGGTTAGGAGCCCCAGTTAATTTCTCCAAAAATTTTAAACTGTGGAACATCAGAAGCTGCACATTTTCTTAGGGGCATGTAGTAGCTGCACAGAATCAGGAAAATACATGTTTGAGTTTAAGAGGTGATGAATGGGCAGCAACGTGGTTGTACTCTATTGTTGCTCTCTTAATGCCTCCTTAATTCAAACACATTGTTTTCCTGAACCTGTGTTGTTACCATTCAAGACCAGGAAAAGCCATTCTTATATAAAAAACAACTAATAGCTAGAGAAGGGAGGCAAACATAGTGTAGAAATATAACTTTTGGCATCAGAAATAAACTCCCACAACACAGGTTTAATTATGGTGCATTGGTCTTCATTAATTTTTAAAAGGTGCACATTTCAAACAACTTTGCCATTTTTATTAAGGTGGCTTCATGGTTCAAAAATACAGTATGGGTCCAAACTGAATTTTCTGAGTCTAATGGCGTTACTGTTGGATACTATTACAAGTGATCCTACATCAAGCAGCAATTACATTTTAGTTACTTCAATATTTTGGATAGAATTGTAAATGTTTTGTATTTTAATCTATCAGCATGAACAGTCTTTGAAACCAGCTTTTCTTTCTTTTTTTCTCAGTTGGGTTTAGAAACTTAAGCATGAAAGCAACACTTTTTGTTGTTTGTTTGACATGCCAAAACTTTAATGGTTTAATATTACCTATATCAACTGTCTTAGGAACGATTGTAACTTTAAAACCATTACTTCAATCTTTCCTAATTTTTCAGGTGGTCAAGACCATAGGCTTACGTGAAGTGTGGTACTTTGGTCTTCAATATGTGGATAATAAAGGTTTCCCAACCTGGCTGAAGCTTGAGAAAAAGGTAATTAAATGGGAAGCTAACTTTGATTTTTAGGAGTCCTAAACATATCTATTTAATTGATAATCAGTTCCATCCTAAATATTTAGGTCAATTAACAATAATTTCAGTGAAAAATAAAATGTTTATTATTTGTTATCATCATTGTTTACTATTATTACTTTATTTATATTTAAATCTTTCAAAATAACCCTCCAAAGCAGTTTAGAAGCAATGCAAAAATTATAAATATTTTAATTTATTTATTTATTTATTAGCAAGCCAGCAAGTGAAGGATGATGGCAGTGAAAGGGGGCATGTAGGAAGAGTCCAGTTAAGCAGGATTCTGTTTATGGTTATCACCTACCCACCGCTTTCCCTCTTCAGGGATCTTTTTCATAAGGTAATTAGTGGAAATATTGCCCAGTGGAAATCACAAAAGTTGGATATTTGCCAATTCCCTCACCCTTAGCCAGTTTCTTTAAATGCCAATGCTGTTAAAGTACAGTAATTTGTTAAGATGATGTTTAGGCTTGGGCCTTGAGAGAAAGAGATAATCACAGCTACCTCACCTGAATAATAAGGGCACATGCCCTTATTATCCAAATAGGACTACAGATAACATAGTTAAGCATGTATGCTTGGTCAGTATTAGTCTGCAATGGGATATGTAGGACAAGCAGCCATTTATACCTTGAGGTATGCTTAACAGGCACTGGGGAGCCATCTGAAGCAGATTTTCAGTACATCTAGCAGTTGGCGTTGTGACTGTCAGTTTTATGATAACACCTTGCATAGGAATTTCATTTTTTTAAAGTGCATAAATTATTGTAGGGACCAGTGATCTGGCAAATTGAGTGTGCACTTACATTATATGCATGAGTACTGACAGTCTGAACTTTTTGTACATAGTTCAGTCTCAACATTCCTTTAATCTGTTCAAAATATAGGCATTGTGCTTATTTCAGTTAGCTCAATCTCTTGGTACACGCTTTTCATCTTCTAAAGGCTTTTCAAGACTAGTTGTCAGTCTGCCTGCTCTTCTTATAGATGAATTATAGTGTGGAGACTAATCAAGACATATGTCTTGATAGTCCACACTGTATTTAAAGAATTGTCTGAGAAAATTATTTTTTCACTGACCTAATCATTGTAATAACTCATAGGAGGTATAAATACTATTAATATCTGTTAGGAAAACAGTGAAGATATAGTCTGATCCTGCATCACTTACTCCTTGAATAGATTTAAAACAAGTATGATGGTATTGAAAAAATTCATACAACTTTTGTGTCAGTCATTCCTAAGTCTACTTTCCAGATAGTCTCAACCAATACAAAGTGGATGCTGCCATGTATTTACAGCAGCTTTGGCAGTCAGCTCAGTTGTGTAGGAGCAATTAGAACAACTGCCTCAACTATCAAAGTTAACCCAGTAGATGCTGTTTAAAATTGCTAATCCTGTATGCTTAACACAGTTTATTTTGTGTATAATAGTAATACTGATGAAGAAAAAACAATGTTCACCCATTTTTATAACAGCCTAATCATTCCCTTTAAAAGCAATTTAAAGAGAATATATAACTCTGTAAACTCTGGTTATGATGTGATACTGAGATAGAGATGTTGCTAACAGGCAGTCAAGAACACATAATCTAAGCAAGAGAATGGTTAAAATACTAACACCATTTTATTTTGCATGATTGTAATCCAGATGAGTTATAATGATGGATAACTTTTCACCAGTGTGCCCTTATTAAGCAGATAAGCAAAGAACAAACATACTCTGGTTGACACATGGAGAGAAGGAATACTAGGAATTGTCTCCAGCTTTCCTTACCACAAAGCCAGATGTGTAAACAGCAGCCTTTTTGATTGTCAAAAAGATGTATCACTTCTATGAAGTACTAAAGTAATTTTCTTCAGTGCAAAAAGATCATGTGTTTGTGTGTGAATGTATTTTCATGCTCTCTGGAAGTTAAACATCTGACAGTGCAAACATCCTGAAAGATAGTGGCCCCTACATCTAGGCTGATCAAATCCTGGTGTGTGCTGAGTCCTAGAAAAAAACAACCTTAGAAATGTAGAGATTTCCTTGCTCAAACAACCCTCCCTGCCCCCCCCCGCCACACAAGTAGTCAGTTCCTATGATATACTCTTTTGAGAGCTTCCTCACACTTATTGAGCAGCGTTATTGATCAAGTCATAGGAACCAGAAAGGCAAATGAAATAGAGATAGTCATTTTAACATTGATATTTTGGGGACAGCATTGTTTTTTGTACCTAAATAGAGGCTGTTGTTTTTACAAATTTTAAATAAAGTCGATTCTTTGGAGCTGGAGACAATCTTACAAGTTCAAAGATATATAATAACTTGATAGTAAAATTTTGTTGTTGGCTGGAGTCAGGCAGCATCAAAATTGAATAAATACGTTGTGTTCAATAAGTTAGTATTTAATAATTTACTGATACTTATTGCTGCTCCTCTTGCCTTCTCTCTATTTAGGTCTCTGCTCAAGAAATCAAGAAAGAGAACCCTCTGCAGTTCAAATTCCGTGCCAAGTTTTTTCCTGAGGATGTGTCTGTAGAGTTGATCCAGGACATCACGCAAAAGCTGTTCTTCCTGCAAGTGAAAGAAGGAATCCTTAGTGATGAGATCTACTGCCCACCTGAAACTGCTGTCCTTCTTGGATCTTATGCTGTGCAAGCCAAATTTGGAGACTACAATACAGAACTCCACAAGGCTGGGTATCTCAGTTCTGAACGCCTAGTCCCCCAGCGGTAAGTACCTCTGTTGAAACCCTGAAGCCGAACACTTCCCAACTCTGTTGAATAAATTTCCAGATGAGAATATGTGTAAAAGACACTAGAACAGATTTTGCAGCTTATAACTGATGACCAACGTGTTAAGAAGGGAGTGACACAATAAAATGCACAGTTTGGGATTTGTTTTTTTAAAATTCTGATAAAGCTAAAATACCAGTAATAGAGAAGAAGTATGTTGTGATTTTTAATGAAATTTGGCACAATTTGAGATTAAAAGAAATTGTTTTAGAATATTAGGAATGCTCGTTGCTTATGGGGTTGTAGTACTGAACATAATTATTAGCCACTAAATATATTGGTGAGGGTAAGTATAATGTAATAGTTAAGGTTTTGAACCAATCACTATCTCTTTTCCCAGACTACCTCAAAGGATGGTTGTTATAGGGAAAATTAGAGGAAGAAGAGCTATGTGTACTGCCTTGAGCTCCTGAAGTAAAGACAGGATCTAAATCTAATTAAAGTTGGGACAAACAACTTTTTTTGTTGGGGAAATATTATCAACTTAGAGTGTCAGTTGAATAGGTCTATTTCTCAGTTCACTTCTGGTTTCAGTTAACAAATTAATAAATTGTTTATGTTATGTTTGCAAGCCTTATTACTACTTAACACAGCCTTAATACAGCAGACTTGTCAGTTTATGTCCATGGAAACTTTGGGTACAAAATCTATGGGACCAAGGATCTTTGCAGACATTTGCGCATCCCTATAGAATAATCTTGTAGTAATCTAGTGTTTAATCATTAGAAGACTAGTGGAAAGGTGATGTGTTGGAACTTGATCAAGGTTCATCTTTTTAAAAATCTCAAAAATGTTTCTACTGTAAATGTTCTGTTTTGTGCAATGCTTTCCATATATCCAGCTTTGCTAGTACGTGAGTTTTTTGTAAATAAAACAAATTAAACTATAAATCTCATGGTATATCTTTATATTTTAGAGTGATGGATCAACATAAGCTATCTAGAGAGCAATGGGAAGAAAGGATTCAAGTCTGGCATACTGAGCATGGTGGAATGCTTAAGTGAGTTATCTCATTGAATTTTTTTTATTAACTTTTAAAAATTAGGTTTCAGTTATTTCCAAAATGTACAATGTCTAGTACTTGTATTCCACATTCACATCTTATATAAGAGTTAACCACTAGTGAAGAACTTCAGAAGATTTTTAAAGCACCACTTGTTTTGAATTGTCATCTGTTCTGCACTCATTATGTTAAATTACTATTGATATGTATAAAAATTCCAACGTGTATATACTATATAGGCAAAGCCAAGATGATTGAGTAGAGTTACTGAAATAATATTGAACGCACAGTGGAACAAAAGCATATTCCATAGGAAGGTGAAATGGTTCTGTTAGGCCTTTTCTATTATACCAGTCTGAGTATTTATTTTCCCAGTAGCTCAAAGCTCTGCATCAGTCTTGGAAACAACTCTTAACATTTCCTATTTATGTTTTTTTTATTATTATTAACCAGAGAAAATGCCATGCTGGAATACCTGAAGATTGCTCAGGATCTAGAAATGTATGGAATCAACTATTTTGAAATAAAAAATAAGAAAGGGACAGATCTTTGGTTGGGAGTAGATGCACTTGGGCTCAACATTTATGAAAAGGACGACAAGTAAGTTGAAATATTTGTAATCCTTTTTTGAGGCTAAAGAGTTACTCTTGTGCCAAAGAATTATCTCATTATCTGTGATGTGTACTTTTATAGCAGTCGTATCTGCTAAGGTCTCCTTGCCTTTCAGAATATGTGCTAAATAGTATTGTGCTGGAGTCCACATGGCTTCAAAGTGACTTGCCTTGCTTCATCTCTAAATTGAGCTGTTTCCTCCTTAAGTGTATGTACAGATATGTGGTTTCAGAGGGGCAGAATAATCGGTGCATGGTAAGAAAGGCAAGCCATGCATCATACATGAATGATAATCCTAGAAGAAATTTCAGAAGTCAAGTCCATTTTCACTTGTCAAAGTATTGGACAGAAGCAAGAACAATCATCTGCAGGATCCAGGGTTGGGATCTGAGCCAAAGGATGATATAGAACAGGACTTATGGTCTTAATAACCTGTTCTACATTGTACACTCACTACATAGCTGAGGGAAGAGTATACATTTTGCCCGCAGAAGGCCTTAGGTTCAGTCCCTGCCATCATTTATTAGGGCTAGAGGAATTCTCTGTTTCAAGAGCTGTGGTTCATTAGATACTGAGCCGAATGTATTCACAGTTTCACCACCATGTAAGATACTTGCTTAATCATTCAGGATTCTCATCCAGCTATCTCCCTAATGACGACAGGAGAACTTCCATTATTGTCAGTTATAGAACTTTCTCCATGCTAGGAGCCATTAGTGTGCAATGACTTTAATGGCCAGATTGGCTTTTATCTGGAAACTGCCCAGATAAAGTAAGTTGAATCTTTGGAATACAAGATTGACAATCTTTGTTTTTTTAAGCCAGTAGGTCTAGGGTTCCTTATTAAGGAAGATATCTGAGGAAACAGCAGACTGGTTATCTGAAAGTGAGACAGAAGTAACTGAATGAGAACAACATGAAAAAAAGGAATGCTACCTGTTCACATAATCCTTGTTTAATACAACAAGGACATGCAAGTTCATAAGTTAAGGGGTTAGAGTTCAGTGGAATCTTAAATAAGGAGTTTACCTGAAGCACAGTAGATTATTTATAAATACTAACTTTGCTTTATATTTGTTTCCAAGGCACACTTTGAGCCATATAAACATTCAAACAGGAGAAATAATCTGCAGAGACTGAAAAAAGGCTACACGTTAGGTCTTTATTGATGTTTTTAATCAAAATTATACTGAGATCACTGAAGAAGGGTAGTTTTTTTCCAGCACCCTTATTACACCTAGAAAATAAGGAGTGTCACTCTTAACGATTGCATGAGTGAAACTACTTCTAGTTTCTTGAATGACAAGTCTCTTTGTGTAGCCATAGTCATGCAAACTGGTTTTACAAGCTATATAAAGCCTGCAGGAAGAAACATTTACTTCCGAAGGAAAATCTGGGGAAGGGGAATGTGCACAATAAATTAACCATTGGCACATCTAATGATTCATAATATAATCTTCATAACATGGAAGTTAACTTGTTTCTCCCTCCTCCTTTTTTTTTTTTTTTAATACACACTTAAATGCACAGGAAGAGCTGAAGGGTGGAATAGAATATGCCACAGTTGTGGCTAATACTGAATTTAGCATATAACTAACAGTGCTTCTACTTTTCATAATGAGAGCTGCCTTTGGATCTCCAATATCTAATTATTGCATTAGTATCTTTAAAACAGTAGTCTGTATATGTTAAGAAGGATTAACATATAATGCTCTAGTTATAATATTCTGTATGGGTTGTATATCTGTGTATTCCTTTGTATGAAGAATGTTATCTTTGCTCAGATTTTAAGTCCTTACGTAAGCTCTGTTCTAAATATATACAGACCTCTACAAGATAAAATTTAACTATATATTATAAGTGAGATTTAAAATGCCTGAAATTTTTATGTGGAAGAATCGGGGTGGGGCACAGTGTTCCACTTTAAAAGTACATGATGTGAAGAAGAATACAGGGTGATAGAACTGTAAGGATACAAAGAGAGAGAGACTTTAAATTATTTTTTTCCAACCTGGAGTTGACCTGATAGTAATTTAATGCTGTAGAGAAGGGGATGGGCAGACACGCAGCTTGTGTACTCAAAACTATATTTGCTAGCATGTCAAGGTCAACCAGCTACAGCCAGGTACAAAATTGTGGTTGGAAAAACACGTATTGTCATGATATCTCTCTGACCACATTAATCCCAGTAATCTCTTTCCTGCCTGGTATCCTTCCTGTAAAAGCCAGATTCTGATGTTCCTGAAGGTTGAAGTGACTTTTTGTTAGATGCCACTGTTCAACTTATTGCAGAAATCTAGAGCCTGATATATTTTATGCCCAGCCCTGCTGTAGAGATCTAATGGAAACAGGGAGATAGCTCCAGCATCTCAGTAGTTAAGCCAGATTTCTTGCTCTGTAGTAAATTGTTTCCTTAAAATATATATCTACTTTGGTGTTTCCAGATTAACCCCTAAAATTGGCTTCCCTTGGAGTGAGATTCGAAACATATCGTTCAACGATAAGAAGTTTGTTATAAAACCAATTGACAAGAAAGCACCAGTGAGTATAATTGATAATTAGTGTTGTTCCTAATGAAAGAGAATAATGATTATTTATTTGTTTTATTCATTTATTTTAAGAAGCCCTCTTTGGTTATATTTTCCAAAATTCCTAAAAAAAATATTCTCCACTAACAGAAGAACGGACATAAATCTTGGATTGAAATTGCCTGCCTCTTTAAGAGTTGAATAATACTGGAAACATTGGTTTCTATAAAATAAATCTGGTTAATGTTTGAAACTGATTCAACAAAATGTGGAATGCTCCCTTCCCTTCTTCATGTGCACATAATTATGTTAGAATGTTGAATCATTTTGTTATATTTATTGAATATTAATATTATGGGCATCACTTTCTTCCTCTTATACTACGCAAAATTGGAATGCATTCTTAAAATGAAAACTTGTAAAAAAATTACCATGAAAATATTAACTTATTCAGAAACAACATCTATCATTGCATTGTAAAATCTAATCTTCCTCATAATTTTGAAATAATCTTTCTAAATACCTTTGCTTTTAAGAAATCTGTATATTGAAAAAGATGTCTTCGTTGCTTTCCTTTATAATATGAATGGGTTTCATTAATGGGAAAATGCTTCAATTTCAGAAATGCCTCCCTCCCCTTTAAATATTTGATTGGTAGAAATTATTGTTTGAAGCTAAAGAGAAAATTAGTCATGTAGCCATTGACCATTTTGAAATTTAGTGTTCTAAATATTCAATGGAGCCCTAGGATTATAAATACCTTCACTGTGTTCTTTTTTTTTTTTTTTTTTTAACATGTTAGCCTCATTTTCTCCATCCTGGGTCCCATAATTTCCCCTCCCTCCCCTTTAAATATTTGATTGGTAGAAATTATTGTTTGAAGCTAAAGAGAAAATTAGTCATGTAGCCATTGACCATTTTTAAATTTTGTGTTCTAAATATTCAATGGAGCCCTAGGATTATAAAAACCTTCCCTGTGTTCTTTTTTTTTTTTTTTTTTTTTTAACATGTTAGCCTCATTTTCTCCATCCTGTGTCCCATAATTTCCCTTCTGTCTTTGTTCTGCCCTGGAGATGCACTTGCCCTGATACTTGGCTATTACAAGCATAAGGACAAAAGTTTGAATTTGGATGACTTCCGTACCATTACTTATCCAATGCACGCACAACCCCAAATGAAAATTTCAAAAAAGCTATTAGAGGAGCAATGTTATAGCATTTATTAAATTGGTCAGGCTCAGAAATTATTAGTGTATTTTTGCTGCTGAAATTAGCAGTCATAGGCCAGTCACAGGAGAGGAGCTAATCCCTATATGATTACACAAGTTAATCTGCTTGGATTTTCCATTACAAAGAACTAAGAACCAAGTGAGAAGTCTGGGAGGAAATGTCTGTAAGTAAGGCACTGTAAGTGTGTATGTGTGTCTTTTTAACCTTTTCTTCTCTTTTTGCCAGGACTTTATATTTTATGCTCCTCGCCTAAGAATCAACAAGAGAATTCTGCAGCTATGCATGGGAAATCATGAGTTGTACATGCGCCGTAGGAAACCTGACACCATTGAGGTCCAGCAAATGAAAGCCCAGGCCCGTGAAGAGAAGCACCAGAAAGAGATAGAAAGGTATGTGCAGGAGAATAGGAACTACAAGGAGGCATAACTTGGACAGACCCCTATGTTAAGTGTGATCATTCTGCAGTAGATATGTTAATAGCCTTACAATACCATGCATGCTAATTATAGGGCTAACAGAAATTAAATCTAAGTATAGATTGGTAAGAGGTTGAGTTGCTTGACTTGTTTGTATCCTCTTTACTTCCTTCATAGTTTCTTAATATAAAAGTTTAGGTCATCAATCATTGCTGTCTTCCTGAGTGACTTGAAATGCAGCCCCTAACATCATAAGTACTACTCTGGATTTAAACAGATGTGCAGATACTTTCACATTGTTTTCTCCTGGTTATGAAAAATCAGAAAAGTATGGTAAAATGTTTCTAGAGGGTAGAGTAAATTGTAATCTCTTCAGTTCTAAAACAAATTTAATTTTTATACCTGTAAAGAGAGCAATTAGAAAATGAGAAGAAGAAAAGAGAGACAGTTGAGAAGGAAAAAGAGCAGATGTTACGAGAGAAAGAAGAGCTGATGGTGAGGCTGCAGGAGTATGAAGTGAAGACACAAAAAGCAGAAAGAGGTACTTCTTGCATTTGGTTGGCAAGCAGTTGCTGAAACCATATCCATCTTTCTATGTCCCCCCCCCTTTCTATCTGATAAGCAGTGTCTTTAACAAGCAATAGTAAGTTAAAGTGCCATTTTATTACCCTGCTTTGAGTTTTCTAATGAACAGAAATACACAGACAGGAAAACATGTTCTTCTGAGAGGACAGTGATCTCACCCTAATGAACTTGCAGGGCCTTGCTTGAGGAAGAAACCCTCAAAGAGAGGGAGGAGAAGGAGGATTCCCTGCAGTAGCAGAGAATCGTGTGCTTTGGTGGCCATCAGGATCCAATATTTGGCAGTGCTGCTGCATCGTCCCAAAATATCAGCCTTCTATGTTAATAGTTTGGTTGACCGAAAAATTAACCAATGAAGTAATGTCTGTGTGGTGTCAAGTGCAGTGAAACCCTGATTATCTTGGCAGGGATCTGATTTGGATTGGGTCAGTCTGATAGACCAATATCTCAATATGATTATAAAACTCTAATGTATGACTTCTCACATTCCTGCCTTTAACCTATAATTTGCTCTTTACGTGGACACATCCGTGTGGATTTCTTGGCAACCTTCTTGGCAAGGTGATTTGCACTGTTTTCTTCTAAGATGTTTTCCAGTCTTCCAGCTTAGTCAACAGGCCAGAGATTTCCTGGAAGTCAGCTAGGTGCTGCCATCTGTGGTGACTAAAGCTGTAACTATTTATCTTCAAAGAATATTTTACACATAAAACAAGTACTAGCATTCCCAAAGCATAAACGTATGGAAGAGAGAAGGCCTAGTTGCATGTCCTATTTAGCCATAAAATGATAAGATGAAGAAACTGCTCTACCACTCCACAACCACTACTGTCTTCTTCCACAAGAAGCCAGAGTGGTGCAATTTCTGAAGAGTGGTATTTTCAAAAAAAAAAAAAACAGCGTGTAAAATATATGTGTCTTCTTTTTTCTTTTTGCCAGAGCTCTCAGACCAAATCCAAAAAGCCAGGCAACTTGAGGAAGAAAGAACAAGGGCCCAGGAGGAAGCAGAGCGTCTGGAGAATGAACGTTTGATGGCTCTGCAAGCTAAGGAAGAGCTGGAGAAACAAGCTGTTGACCAGATGAAGAGTCAGGAGCAGCTGGTATGCATTGGAGGCATTTCAGAAAGAAACTTGGAAAAATGATATAAATCTTAGCAAACCATTTGGGCTGAGCTCATCAAGCTCTGTATGTTTATAGCTTTTAAAATCTTGCCTTTTGTTCTCAAAGTGTTTTTGGCAATATTAAAAGTAATTTTAAAACACATAAAGATCATAATGATACCTAAAATGGATGCAGTAGAGAAAATGGACCATACAAGCCAAATATTTCCTGAATAAAATGTACGGTGACAAAATAAAATTAAAGGATACAACAGCTTTTGCAGAACAGGAATTCTGCAATCCGGTGCTGCTAGAGAGAAAGCACTTGAGCTGCACTTGAGCTGGAAATGATGTCTTAAAAGCCCTCTTTAGGTCACTGCAGGGTTCAGTGGTATCTCATGGAAAGAAATAATCTTTTCCCATCTCTTGTGCCTTCGTGAAATGTTGCACTATGGCTCCCAGCATTTCCAGTCACTATGGATAAAAGCTGGCTCAGGATGCTGATAGTTGCAGATCCATCATATCTGGAAGATACCAGTTTGGGAATAGCTTGCTTGAGTTATATTGGCCGTAAACTGGTTTTTGATGTTTTAACTTGCAGCCAGAAATAAAGTAGCAGACATTGTCAATACTGCTGGAATACAGAAGCAAGTTTCCTAAAGCTGGCTCTGGTAGATTGTATTGGGGCAGTATTTAATAAAATTAGTGAATGTTCTCTTAAGGCAAACTTCATAAAGCTGGTTGTTAGTTGTCTAGCCCCAACATAACTAAGGTTGGCCTAACCGGGGTCTACCTTTTGTAAAATTGATATATCACCTAAAGCTGAGAGAAAACTTCTGGCTGTTGTAGCTGCTACCAAGTCATTTCCTGATCCAGGAGCAACCTCAGACTCTGAATGTACCATCCAAAACAGGAGGCTCTAGGAATAGGTACCAGTTCTCTTACTGACTCGAAGTACTTCTGTCTCATCTAATGTCTTCTTTCTCTGTTAAAAAAGGCTGCAGAGCTTGCAGAATACACAGCCAGGATTGCTCTTCTGGAAGAGGCAAGGAAGCGTAAAGAGAATGAGGTTGAAGAGTGGCAGCACAGGGTAAGCTCAATGTGTTCCAGTTTGTTTTACTTTCAGGGATTTAGCAACTTTAGGCCTTTGCTGGATCTTGATTACAACATAGTTCACATGAAAATATGAATTGTACAGTCTATTCTCCTATAAGATTTGCTACACTATAAGGATATAAGATGAGCCATACTGCATCAGACCAAAGTTCCATATTTACTTTCCATAGTGGCCAACGGGATGCTTCCAGGAAGCCCATAAAGAGGGCATGAATTTAATGCTATAGCTTATGCCTGCTGTTTTTGTTTATACAATGAATATAAAAACTAATAAGTCAAATAAAATGCACGGGTAGGCTTTACTGGTAGCTTGCAAGTTACATCAGGAGTAGAGAGCTACTGGCTCCTTTTATCCACTCATTATAATCTACTAACTAACATAATACAATACATTACAATGCATACTATCTTCCCTTTTTGTTTTTCGTTTTTTTAAGATACAAAATTCCCATCCTGCACTGGTTTCCAACCCACCCTACACTTGATATCACCAGTGACTCTATTTCTTCTGAAACCAGATCATTGTCCTTTTCTACAGTGGTATCACCAACTGTAGTTTCTTCTTTCTGTACATGATCAGAGATAACATAAGATTTTTTCAATAAGTTCCTTTGATCTCTTTGATAAACTGTTTTGCACAGCCATTTGCACAGAGTAAGATCTAGGAGTTTGATGGTTCTCTACAATTTGGGCAGATCTCCACTTTCCACTATGTCTCAGATATACATGATAACCCACATTCAAAAGTGATAAAGATTTAGGCCCTTGATTATAATAAAACTGTTTTCTTGTCACATTTGTTCAATACTCCTTCAAGCATCTTGTGAGTATAAACACTAGATACAGGTAACCTAGTTCATAAACATCAGCCTATCAGTAACTCTGCTGGCAATTTATTGTCCAGACTAGGAGCATTTCTATAACCAAAAAGATCCAAGTAAAATTCAGAACCATCCAGCTTTGACTTTTCTAACATTCTCTTCACAGGCTGTATGGTCCTTCTACCATCCTGTTTGATTGGGCATAACATGGACTGGAAATAGTATCGAGAAAATCTCAATATTTTGCAAATTGTCTGAATTCCATTGTACCACTACAAGATAATCTGTTTTTCTGAAATTCAAATATATTTCTGCCCATTTTTTGCCAAGATCTCATAGGCTATTCTCACTTTTCCATTGGTTCTTTAAATTTCCAATTCCTGAAAAATCTTAAATCTTAAAATTCCTTAAAAATCTTACATTCTTATACCATTGTCTCTATTGGGTATTCATATCTGGTCAAAAGACAGTATCTTTGACCTGTCTCTTACACAATTCAGTACTTAAATTGCCTTCATGCGTTTTTTCAAGATCTTACCTCTCAATCTTTCAGGTACTATCGTTCATTTTTTTAAAGTAAATTTTCATAGGTACTCCACTGTCTATAAGTCCAGTACATTTTTATATCATCTGGAACTTACTTTCTTTGCTGAGGCCACCCTTTCAAAATAATTTTCTTTGATAATTGTAAAGTCTTATCATGTAATGTAGCATCTTTAAATTCTTTCAGTTTTCTCTCAGACATAGATAATAAGGCCTCTTCCTATCTACTGCAACATCAGAATAATCCAAAACCTCATTCATTACTGTTATGTAAAAAAAAAACCTCCAGACAATTACCAGTTCCTTTTCAGGCTTATTAGAAATGAATTGCAGTTGATATTTTTGCAACATTAGTAACCATCATTGGAGTCTTACAGGCACACTGTATAATGGTTTGTTTAAAATAGTTTCCAAAGGTTTATGATCAGTCTCTACCGAAACTTGTTTTCCATAAGTGAAAACAATTAAAAAGTCATGGCTCCAGATGCATACGCCATTGGAAATCCTCCTTGAAGCGATACTGTACCTAAACCAGGTACACTAGCATCCACTGAGACCACTACTGGTTTTGTCGCATCATAATATTTGAATGTAGCTGCAGTTTTTAATAACACTTCCAATTTATTAACTGCAACTTCGTGTACTAGCATCCACTGAAAATCCACATCCTGGAATGGAACTGGAATTCCATTCCAATGGTTAATGGAATTGTCACAGTAGCCATTCCTGAAATAAATTTTGTCAAATAATAGGCTATACTGAAAAACTGCTGTACATTTATTTTATTCATTGAGCTTGGTACTTTAACTATAGCTTCAATCTTTATTTCATCAGGTTCCTTGCCACTAGAGGTTAGCACAGGTCCTAAATACTTTACCTCAATCCAAATTAACACAAGATTTAAATCAGTTACTGTTTTTAACCCTGAACAATCTTATACAGTCTATATATATAGTATTTGGTTATGCCCCTGGTGAATTTTAAGTTACAGTTTTACGCCATTAATAACTAAATCAACAGCCCATTCATCTTCTATACCCTCCATTTTAATCAGTCCAATAAAAAGTTCTGAATAATTATCTTCCTCATGTGATATGCATAAAGTTTTAGTCTTTAACTTTTTGTCCTTAGTTCTGCACTTTTTATAAAAGGATTCAGCCATCCGCATTTTCTGCCTTCTTTTTCAACAGTAGCCCGTGCCGCTTTAAGATGAGAAACTCCATACCTCAGACATGAGTGCTTCCAGTCTCTGGTCTTTGGCATTACAACTGATGGCTGGCATTTAACTTTGCTGGAGGCTTTCTCTTTACTTCTCAAAATACTCAGTTCCTTATCAGTACTCCCAAGGTCTTTTAAGTTACAGCCAACTCTTCAGCTCTACAAACATCAACAGCATGTTCCAGTATTAAATCATCTATCCTTAACAGTCTCACTTATCTTTCAAATCTTATTCCACATACGCCACAGTCCTTACTTAAAGAGTTACATAACTGTCCAAATTCACAAGACTTTTAACTCTGTCACATAGGCCTCTCTTTTTCCTTGTAAAAAATGTATGCCTCCCATATGCAATGTCCTTTCTTGGTACACAGCAAGTTTCAAATTTCTCAACACCTGCAGCATCTGCTTATCAAATTTCTCTTCAAATTAGAATATATTAAATATGTCTGTGGTCTCCTCCCCAGGAACAAGCTGAAACAAGGCTGCCATAAGGCTGCCAGTAATTTCTCATTATTTTTATTGGCCCTACTTGCCACAATACAGCTCAAACCTTTGTTTCCATCTTCTCCAGTATTCCAACGTATTTCCAATAAAACCTAACTTATCTGGAGACTGCGGCTGATTCATTATTACACCAGCACCATTCAAAGCTTCTCAGTTGACTTCTAACACTGTGTTATGTTTGATAATACAACAAACATAAAAAATAATAAGAAAAACACACTCAGTACACAGGTAGGCTTTACTGATAACTTGCAGGCTACATCAGAAGTAGAGAGCCACTCATACACAGGTGGCTCTTTTTATCCAGTAATATTCTTCTTGCAAGTAATACAGTACATTACAACACATAACAACACCAACTTGTGTTTCCCAAATACTGTATTCAGAAGCATATTGCATCTAATATTACAGGTAATGCATAGCCATTTTGACTGCATTAGTAACACTGGTAGTTTTATTCCTCATGGACTACTGTCCTTTTAAACATCCAAGTTTATGGAAGTAATTTACTTCTATTACTTTTGAGATAGTGGGCTCTGTAGTTTAAATATTACAAAACTTTGGGGAACTGCTTCTCATCAAACAGTTGGTCAGATGGCTAAACAATTGAGCCAAGTTACATAGTTTAGGGGAAGACAAACCCCACTTGCCAATATGGATGGATAGAAAAGTGCATCTGAGCAGGAAAGAGGTTAAGTTTGGGAGCCAGAAAGGTAGTCATGGGGAAGAGAGAATGGTCCTCCCTTAGTTGAAAATTAAATTATTATTAATGATCTTAATATATGCAGATTTATGATATTCTAATAATACTTTAAGTATCATAAATCTGCAAATGTTAAGATCATTTGGAGAACACATGAAATGCCATAGCATATTTTCATAGCAGACCTCATCTACCTTCTAAATAACACTTTCACTGGAATCTTAACACTGTAGACATGTTCTTCTTGGTTTTGTTTTTCTAGGCTAAAGAAGCCCAAGAAGATCTGGTGAAAACAAAGGAAGAATTACACCTGGCAACGACTGCTCCACCTCCTCCACCTCCACCTGTATATGAACCAGTGAACTATCATGTCTATGATCATCTGCAAGATGAAGGAACTGAGTCCTCTGGCTACAGTGCAGAATTCTCAAGCGAAGGCATATTGGATGATCGCAATGAAGAAAAGCGAATTACTGAAGCAGAAAAGAATGAGCGTGTGCAAAGACAGCTGAAGGTAGGGCATGCACAATCTGTTTGCAATACACAGCATTTATTATCATTCTGAATACCACTTTATAAATTGCCCAAGCAGGGAGAAGTGTTGTAATTAAATTGTATTTTTCTTTCAAAGAGATTTTGAAAGATCTTTCTTAAAGATCTTTAAGAAAGATTTTACATTTTGTAGAAGGCGGAGATGATGATGTAGGGCAGGACCTAGAAAACTTTGCTATCATGTGTCTTGTAGTGGAAGGCAGAAAGGGTTGGCAAATTTAGATGATCCAGATCTTGTATTTACTTCTAACATCAACCATTACAGGCTCTTAGACTTGACTGTGCATATTCTTGGGCCATATAAGAATGGCATATACAAAACTCACCCTCAGATAGCATTTCCAGAGTTTCAGAACAGCTTTTTGTTTCCTCATTATTATTTCCATTTCACAGATGTAATGTTTGTGCACTTGTGTAATACTGTGTTTAAATATTGTAGACGCTGACTGATGAACTAGCTCAGGCCAGAGATGAGAACAAGAAGACTCAAAATGATCTCATCCACACAGAGAACATGCGTCAAGGCCGAGACAAGTACAAGACACTGAGACAAATACGACAAGGGAACACCAAGCAGAGAATTGATGAATTTGAAGCTATGTAAATATAGCTTCATTGAAGACTCTGGGAAATGCAGATTTTGAATGTTGACATTTTGTCTTGAAGGGTCACTTGCAAAGTCATACCAAAAAAATAAATAAACTCCCACACTGTCAGGCATTACCTGAATTTAATAAAAGCAGCCACCAGCATTTAAGTATAATAGGGAGAAGAGTCACAGAGATGTAGTAAAATCTTGATAATATTGTGTCAATAAAGTGATGACAAAGGGTGTCTCAGAATCACTTTTTTCCCATGTGTTAAGAGTTTTGCAGCTTAAATAGATGGCTTTTTACTACCACAAGTATATCCAGATTTGTTTGGGTTGTGGGGGATATGTTGTGCCATGTTTCTTGTTCTTAAACACCCATTGTATTTGAAGTTATAATATTCTTCAAGTTGGTCTTTCCTCCATCCCACTTTCTCTTGTTATTGCTACAGAGATGTCACAAAAGCACCCTAAAAACCTTTCTTTTTGAATTGGAGAGGTTCCCAGTGATCACTGAGGGAGTGCATGACAGGCACACTTCAATGCCTTGCTTATATCAGAGATAAGGGGAAATTGTTGGTGTTCAATATTATTCAAGTGTTGAACTGCAGCTTAACCAGTCAGCTGTAGTGTAGTATTTATATATATGTTAAAGATACAAGTAACATAATTCTAGTTTGAAAAGGATTTTTTTTTTTGCTTTGTATATTTTATTACTATTTCTGGACTTAATGTTAAACAAATGACATTTTGAAAAAAATCTAATCTCTGGGGTGAGGCAATATAAAAAACTGATTATGATCTAGAAAACATTCATAAAGATGATTTTTTTTTACTTTAAAGGAAATTGTAATGCATGCCTGTGATTCAATACAAATAATTTCACTGTTCCTATTTTTTCTAACAGATTTTCTAATTTTTTAAAAAATGGTACAGTTTCAGACTCCAGCCATGAAGGGTCTATCAGCTTTTTAAAATGTCTCTGTTGAAGGGAGTTACTATGGAATTCCCTTACTACTCCCATGTTAACCTCCATTTGACCACCACCACCCAGCTCCCAAAATCCCATTTTAGGCTTTGGAAATTGTCAGAGTGTCAAAGTACAATATGTTGCTAGCCCTGCTCTACATACAGCTTTCTGTGCTGCTTTGTATTTTGAAGTTTATACCTCTGTAATTCTGATACAGTGCGGTGGGATTATTTGTTGAATGCAATCTACCCATAAATAAAAAATCTGCAAGGCAACATGTTTTTTAATTTCTCCATTTTTTTTCTCTGAAAAGCAATGAAGTAACCCATTTGTTCAAGTGACAGGGAATATTAATATTAAACCAGAAAAATAAGATAATTATAGAAGAAATTATTATAGTGAGTAAAATTTTATACAAATGGCAGCTGCAATCATCCTTACTGCCAAGATCAGATAGCCCTGTAATCTGCATGATGGTATTTCCAAAAAGTTATGTTTTTTGCTTTCCTGTTTTCTGCAAAGAATAAAGCCTGCAATGGCCTAATTGTGGTCAGAGCCACCATACCTAGGATTCTAAAAGACTATTTTTTTTTTTTCCAGAAAAGGTCCCCATGTTTATGGGTGATGAAAAATCAAAATGGAATGAAAGAACTAGTGAGTTGTGTATTCCATGTCATTTTCTTGGAGGGCTAGTGACCGTTAAACTTTAGGCTAGCCATTAGTCTGGGTTTGGAAAGCATTAGACTGAGGCTAAGATTAACCTGTAACAAGCCATAATTGCATATAAGGATTAAAGCATTTCTCTTTAACCAGAGTCTAACCCATTGTTAGTCAAGCCCAAAGTAATTTGTGTCCTGTAAATGTCTTTGTTTCACCTCAGTTCTAGGTAGATCTGCATAGACTGTAGCTTTGTGAATACCAGGAATAATTACTTGATAATGAGAACAGGGGGTCCATAGTTGCCCCACCCTTTTTGGGGCTCTGTTCAGCAGGACAGTTGTATTCACATTTATTCAAAAGCTAGTATAGCTCTCTGCACTCCTGCTTTATCAGGACCTTGATTTCACAAGGATGTACACAACCCAAGGTGGTATCTATAATTGCCAAATTACCCATATTATTCATTCGATTTATTAAAATAATATTGATTTAATTAAAGAACTAGATGGGAAAGTAACAATGTAAAACTAAGTAACATCCATTGTAATCATCTTTATTTTCCAGATGACCATTGGGTTCTACATAGATCCAAAAGTTATTCTTAGAAAGTAAAAATGATGGACAGCCACAGATACCCAAATATCTTTGCAGAAAGTAGTGTTTAAAACATGTCGTCTTATACCAAATAGAACAATTCTTAGAAACCATTTCTGAACATCACAGTGCTGGATTTATAATAAAAGGTCTTCCTCCAGTACTGTAGCATTCCCTAGGTATATTTGGTTTTAGTTACTACAATTTCCCTTTATCTTTTCTTCAATAAGAAATTTCTTATTAAATTAGAATACATCCTGAAATTAGAATATATATAATCTTACATTTCTAAAGAATCTTGGCACTTCATAAAAAGACTGAAGAATGCTGCTTCTCATATAAGGGAGGTATATGGAGAATGCAAGAAAGAGAGAATGAGCAAACGACTGTCAGTTGAGTGTGTATGCCGTTCAAGGATTGCTCCTGAACTGCATCTTAATAAAGAATGTAATATATAACTTTACTATAAAACAACAGTAGCCATGCTGGCCATGAGAAAAAAGTTGAAAAATCAATACAGAACACATCTTTATCAGGGCCAATAGAAGTTTCATAAAATAATTACAAGTATCAAAGTTCATTTCATTTAATATATATATTAAAAGTTTTAAAAAGGAAGACAAAAACTAATACAAACCAATATAAAGTAAGAAGAAAAGAAAAATCAGAAAGCTAAAAGTGCAGGAAATGAAAAAAGAAAAAATAGAAAAAAAATTGCAAAGAAGTAGCTCCCAATCTTTACAGCAGTTCTAAGTACAATTATAAATTCACCTCTTACTCTAAGGTTACAACATGACTCTCTTCTTTCTATAATCTATCCTGTCTAATCAAAACCATAAAGCATACGTTCATTTTTTCTGTTTTATGCAAAAAATCCATAAGAGGTTTCCAGTCAGCAGTAAACATAGATACTGTCTTTTCTCTGATCAAAGAAGTCAATGTAGACATCTCAGCAAGTTCCATCATCTTCACCAACCATTCCTCCATTGTGGGTAATGCCAAATCTTTCCATCTTCGTGCATAT